GAAGTATAAATAAACTCTGTCCGTGAAAAATTACTCCACGGACAAAGTATAATAATCATATACGGCCGTGTAATTATGTTGGTAAGCTGATTACCTGAGTATAATCACAGTTAAGTACTTTTAATTTCTGATATCTTTGCAATCCTCCTAACGCGTTTAATATGTAATCCATACTCAAATCCGTAATCGTTTAACCTTCAATAATATCATCATATATAATATCTGGTATTTCAATTGATTCTAATTCTTCTACATTCATCTGATTAAAATTTTGAGATAATTCCTCATGTAATGAATTAATTTGCGGTTGTCGCATTTTTTGTAGTTATTAACGTAATTAATTTAAAATGGCAAGAGTTAAGAAATAATTATAAGGAAACGACCAGACTTTGAAAATAAAATACATATTTTAAAATTGTTAAACTTTGTTTGCTAAAATTTTTTTTAATTTTTTTTTTAATTATCAATTCATATTATAACGATAAGTAAAAAATCTAGATGCAGCACGATGAAACTGTTAATTCGGTCGTTCGTGTGATCTGTAGAATGATAAAACCCGAAATTTTAAGAATAATAATAATCCGTGACTTTCGGGAATTATAGATTTGAATATCTTTCACGATTTAATAGTAACTATACTTCAACTAACGAATAAATGTTTCATGAGAAAATACCCACATAGCGCTTCCTGAAGGACTTGAAAAATATATCAAGCAAAAACAAAGGCATCCCATTCCAGTTGAATATAACAACTCAGATTTTCAACTCTTTCTCGCTACACGGGCATTAATATCTTAGTTTAGAAATAAAATAAGCAAAATTTCGAAACTAATTACGATCTAATTACCAAAAAGCACGAATCCACTTGGTCACATGATGTATTCGACCCATTCAAAAATTTATATTTTGGGGACTTTACAGTCTTTCTTATGAATGGTAATTAAACTTGATTGGATTATAATTAGAAATTATTGTTAAATAATAATTTATTAGGGGTTCGAATATAAGCAAAGCAATATAAATGGAAACGTGGACCCTGCAAAATCAAATTTTAATTTGCCTTTGACAACCATTTTATTCCGCAAATCATGTATTTGAAGGCCATATAATGGTTTTGCAAATCAAAAAATCAAGAAATACATTATTTGATCATTTCATGTATTTTTTTTAATAATAGTGGATAGAAAAAACAACTAATCCGATTTCATACGTAAATTAACTTGATTACTTGCGAGCTAATTCTTTGAGATAATCAATCTAAAATTGAACGATCTCATGTATATTTGATTTTAGATCACTTTGACAACTTGTGTGTTGCTAAATTTTCTTATTTTTTGATGCCGTAGGCTGATTGAGCTATTTTAATTATTGCTGCCAGTAATGGTGAATTTAAAGCTGGTATTTCCAAAGACAGTCAAACTCGTGAACATGCTCATTTGGCTTATGCTCATGGTGTAAAACAACTTATTGTTGTTATCAAGATGGATAAAAGCTGGTCAGAAGAACGTTGCAACGAAATCGTTAAAGAAGTTTCTGGCTTTATCAAACGTACTGGTTACAATCAAAATAATTGTTGCTTTTGTCCCAATATCCTTCTGGCACGGATAACCTGTTGTAAGTATCCCCAAATATGACCTGGCTTATAGGGGTAAAACTAAAGGAAATACTTCATGGAAGCTGTCGATTCTATTTAAGACCCGAGTTAACCTATCGAAAAACCTCTTCGTCTTCCACTTCAAGCCGTTTACAAATTTGGTGGTCCCAGAAGGTCGTGTCGAAACTGGTGTTATCAAGGCCGGTATGGTTGTAATATTCGCTCTTGTCAGTTTCACTACTGAGGTGAAATCATCACGAACAATTAGTTGAAGGATTACCTGGTGACAACATTGGTTTTAATGCCAAATCAAGAAAATTCGTTATGTATGTCTGCTCTAATTCTAAGAACGACCCTGTTAAGGAAGCTGCTTCCTTCCAAGCTCTAGTTTTTTTTTAATAGATAATTGATGAAATTCACCGATCAAATAAAAACATCTATGGAGCTTTTCCTTACTTTTCACACAAAGGTTTAACATGGCGGAATATGCACAAAGCATTTATTTCATAATGACATCGTAATCATTATGTTTATATGTACGTATACCGGAAGATGAGTTAAATCCTGTATGATAACTTGTAAGTTATTAGTCTTTAATGTTCTAAATGGATAAATTTATTTAACAAAAGCTATAATATTATTTATTTTTAGATGAATTACATTTATTCGGAGGAAGTAATTTTGTTGGAAGGGGTCGCTTTATGAAATTCAGATGGTTTGTGTCATTTGTAATATTACGTTTTTAATTACTGAATTTCAGTTTAATGTTTAGGATTTTAATTTAGATGTAAATTATATCATACAGCCCCGCTCCTACGCGGCGCTGTCTACAATATTAAATCTTACACACAATTTTTCAAAATTTTATTTATTTATTTATTTTATTTTTAGAGATAATATATCTTTCGTAAGTGCTTTTCTGTGTATTTATTAGTCAATTTACAATTTCAAATTTTTTTATTTGTAATATTACTACTAATCTAACCATACAATATATTACCATCTTATTCATTTAAAAGGAACTATATGTTATATCATTTCATTAAAATTTAGATACAAGTTGAGAACAAAATATCTACCCATTATCTAATTGTTCAAAGTTTATTTATCTTGAAACTAAAATCCAAATAATAATAATAAAAAAAAAAAAAAAAATAGAAAATGTGGAAAGTTAATCCATAATAATAAGGAAAGCAATTTATCATTTAACCCAAAGCATATAAAGCTGAAAATTGGTATTTATAAATCTGTCAAAAAAGATAAATATCGTTAAATTTGAAAATTTATTTTATTTAAACAAATTTAACAAGTTTTAAATTTTAAAATACCAACTTAAAATTTAATAAAATTATTTGATGAAATACAAAACTAGTCCAAAATTATTTTTTCGTACATACTCTATGACCGTTACTATATCTTGAAACACGACTTGATTTTGAATAATTTTTACACTCGAAACTGGTAATACAACACACTTTATAAGAGTTTAAGTGTTAGTTATATCATTCTTATGATGACTATGCGAAAAATTATATGACGAGAGATTAGATTCGTAGTATATTATAAATATAATTTGTTTGCAGAAAGTAAATTTATTTTATTATAATTTTATTACTTAAACTAATATTTTATAATAAATTATAAAGCATTTTATACCAATCTTTCTTTCACAATTTTAGTAGAAAAAGTTATAACGATAATCAAAAAATTGGTATTAATAAATTTTTAGAAAATAAATCAATTTTAAATTAAACATTTATCATATTTTTATTGTTTTCTTATTTTATGTAAAATTTCAATGAAAAATTAGGTGAGAAATTTAATTATTTCTACAATAATGTAACGATTATTAAAAAAGGTTTTAAATAAATTACATTTCACCGTAATACCGAAGGAGTGTTTACTAATCGTTAAATTAAAATAAAATAAAATAAAAAGATATCGCTTCCTACTAAAGTATTATAAAAAAAAAAAAAAAAGAGAGTTCTTTGCGAACCTTCCTAATTGCATAAAGATAATTGTCTTCTTGGTCATAGGGATTGAATTGATTTCGAAATAAATAGCTAATTCTATTCTTCTCAACGATTCTTAACATATAAGCCGAAACTGATTCAAAACAAGTCTAATTGATTTTAGGCTGGTTATCCATAAAAAAATTTTGACGTATAATTGTAGAGCCAGTTTTCATTGCTTTCCAGAAAGTCGGCGATGAGGAGAGTTTTGTTGAAGTAAAATAAACCTTGATATACAAAATCATAATGTCAAGTGTAATGGTTCGTTTCCCTTGTAATAGAATCAACGATTTTGGGCGGGGGAGAATGATTTCTTTTTCGTCGTGCTAATTAATAGAAATATATTCAAGTATATAGCAAACGTCAGATGCTTTATAATAGGAACAGTATCAACAAACCTTATCTAAAAAATTTTGTGGATTGCTTTTTCTACCGGAAGATGATTCTTCTGAGTATTCCCAAGAAATTTTAATATTTTCCTTCTGTTTATAACATAGCTTGGTTAAAAAATGATGAGTAGCTTTAAACTATCCATAACTGACCTCGTGAAGTAAGATTGCCAGGCAAAACCTGGAGGTTTCGACAGGCATCGAAATCGAAACTGTTGAAACACTTCGAAAACGAAAGGTGCATATTGGGTTTTGATTTTGCCCCGCAACCTTATGGTGAAGAGTATAAAGTCGAAAAAAAAAAAAATTTTGAAAATTTGTTAACTTGAATGAACTCGGCTTCTAGCAACGAAGAGCTTGTAAATTCCACTGCTATTCAGATAAAAAAGAAATTTAAGTTAAAATTATAATTTAAAATCGGTACACAAAAAATGCTTTGACAGTAAATAGAATTATTTGTAAATTATAAAGATCTATTTAAAACAAAAAAGCTCAGCCACAGTATTCAATAAACCAGAAAAGGAGCAGATTTCTTATTTTTAGCGACCGATATCGGATATGAAGAAAAAGATTGTTATTCTGAATTTGTCATGATTCGTTTCTTACGCCATCGTGTTTATTGTAAATTGTGTTCACCAGTGTAGAATGACTTTTTTTCAAAAATTTTTGGTTGGGTATTTTCTATGAATTATAAGCGTCGCTTTACACACACTTTTCAGAAAGGAAAGTAAGTTATCAAAATAGTCTAATTTTTAAATGTTATAAACTTATATTTCGAAAAATTCACTGGTAGCAAAATACAAAATCATTGCATTAATTCATGACAATATAAAGAAATAAAGTAAAAATCTTCAAACTACTAAGAATTTAATATCAAGATTTATATTTTTTGTAAGAGAAAAAATTCTGATTTCAAAATGCTTGGAATTTTAGACGTTGACAACGTGATCAAATCTATTTATGGATCGGTATTGAGTTTGTCCTATGAAACTCGGCAAACAATTTTCGAATTAAGATTATTATAGTTGAAAATAAAGCCAATTTGTAAATTATTTGTTTACCAATATTGTAGAGAGGAAAAAACAAAAATAAAAAAAAATTGAAGTTTTTTCTATTTCTCTATGACATTACATGCAAACCAAGTCTAACATGAAATATTTAGAGCTGTGGGTGTGGGTGCACGTTAGACATGAAAGTGAAGAAATTCAAACAAGCCGAGTGAATAAACGGCTATGATTTGTGAGATTCCCAGTGTCCCTCCCTACCTTACCATAGCACGGGTGGTTGAGAGAGGCTAGGCACTGAAATTCTAACAAACCGGTGGTTAAATGGCTGTAGTAACTATGACTCGAGATTCCAAGTGTCCTAAGCACGAGTGGTTGATTTACGATCAAAGGTTGATATAAAGTTTTAATTACCTCATCAAGGTCAACGATTTGGTGATGACTTAACAAAACATTAAGTCAAGTGAGGCTAGACCAGAATGTTATCATACCTTTGATGATGGTTGAACCACTGTGTTAATAAGAATATAAAAGGACGATATCCAAAACTGAATCATTCTATCATAAAATACAGCATAGGCTACTGGTTATTTTAGATAGCTTAAATGGGGCTGGTAATGAGTGGTATCAACGCACCACCATTATAGTAATAGTCTCTTTAATGCGAAAATCATGGTGCCCTTATATGTCTGGGACGCACGAACGTGAAACTTCATCATGATGGAGTTATGTATTTGATTGGGATCTTCTGGTGTACTTTCTGAATGTCATAAAATGACTGGAGGAATGTAGCCTTTGGTAGATGTGATGTTTGGGACTGAGGATTGCAACTGATACCCTTTTGGACTATTCGATTGATCTCTGTCTGATACGTTTAATGAGATAGCATAGCTGCTATGACCGAAAGATGGTCATCTAGGGCTTGACATTAGAGAGTGTGAGACAAAGCTATCATATCCAAGGAAGGAATACCGGTATTATCATGTAAGTATACTTACTTAGTTATCGTGCAGGGGGTCCGAATATTGTTAAGAGAAAGTTACCATCTACACCATTTAAGCACGATTGGACTACATCATGTCCCACGAATTAAATTATTTTTAATTAAAATCATGAGGGTGTCTCGTTGGTGATGTGGTGGCATAGCTTTGTTTGAAGGGTGACCCTCTTATTCTCAGTTTTACGCTAATCTTGTTCGTTCCCTTCCCAGACAATGTAGGTGTTTCATTTTACTATTAAAATGTTGTACTAAATCCTTTGCTTTTCTCTGTCCCTTCACGAGTTATGAAAATTACACGAGAAAAATAAATTAGCAGGAAGATCTTTAAAAAATTAAAACCGTTTGATATATATTTCAAAAGTTTTTCTTTTTTTATTGTGATTTTACATCAACTTTTAATTTCGAGAAAGATTTCGACATTTATTTGATGGTTTCAATACAAATCATTTTGATGAGCTTTCGAGCATAAATAGAGTAATTAGTATCATGAAAGAATTAATCTTAACTAGGGAAGCCTGAGGCATATCTCCACTGCTACAACCAAAACTTTTGGAAGCGAAAGAAGAACTAAAATAGTAAAAAATTGAAAAAAATGAAATATCATTCACTGTGCCCCAATAATAATAATAATTTAATAAAAAAAATGTTTGCGATCCAACCCAAAAGAGATTACCAAACAAAAAAAAATTACAAATAATTGAAAGCATTTACTAAAGTAATAAATAAAAATAATAATTCAAAAATGAGAATTCTTGAAATTAAATTTTATCTGCTTCACGAGTCGTAGGTGAATCATAAGATCCAAACGTGATTATATAAATAAATAAATATTTAGCTTAAATTAGAAATATGAAAATTTTTTATCGTTTTTACCTAGCTTTGTATAAATAATCTCCGTTTGATGTACAATATTCATGCCATCATATCCGATAAACATAACGTAATTGATGCAATAGTTCCTCCAGAGCTTCTTAATTAAAGTATCCATAAAGAA